ATTTTCTATAAAATTTTAATATTACATACAAACAGAAGTTTCTGAAACTGACACTCTTCCTCAGGAATGAAATTTCTAAAAACAAACATTCAATATTTGTTAAAAATCATTTATTCAAAATATAAAATTTTATCCTAATTATTTGATGTTTAATGCAATTACTTTTGTTGTGAAGGCTTATGTGTTCTTTCCTGAAATGTCTCTGACTTTAATGAAGGCTTCTGATCATTCAGGATGTTGACAAATTTCTTCTTCATGTGAAGTCTCTGATATACAATAAAACTGAATTCGTATAGATCTTCTGAAATGCATTATGTTAATAGAATTTCATCCCTGTCTAATAGAGAGACAGCAAAACAATGCATTTAACTAATAGGTTAAATCTGAGAGCTCAATGGAAAACAAACTTAATTCTTGCTTGAAAAACAAACAACTGATGAGGATCTGGAAGCAGAGAAGTATATTCCAAACAGTTATTCAGACTCTAGCTTCTTTTGACCTTGTGCTACACCAGTCAATACACAAAAGCCAACTTGCTGTGGAAATCATCTCAATCCCATCTTACCATGGACCAGGAAGACTATAAGATATTTAAGGGCCAGTATTAAATGTAATAGATATCATTAGCATCATATTCTTTGGTCAGCCCACCTGGTTGACTGAGATTGGGATTTTCAACAAGCTATGAGCCTAGTGGAAAAGGAAAATATTTAGGAAAACAATTTTCCAGTCTACATGACAAGAGTTTCTCTGCTGTGTGGTATAAAATAAGGTATGAGTTAATTCAGAACTTCTCAAATTTATGATGTGTTAGGGTTTTCTCTCTGGTATGCATTCTGGTGTGATGTACTCTAAGAGCTGACTTATGAACAAAAATCTTCCCACATTCACCACATTCATAGGGTTTCTCCCCTGTGTGAATTCTCTGGTGTACTCTGAGAGTTGAAAATCGGGCAAAACCTTTCCCACATTCATTACATTCATAGGGTTTCTCCCCTGTGTGAGTCCTCTGTGTGCACTAAGGTGTGATCGGGGAGAGTTTTCCCACATTCATCACATCCATAGGATTTCACACCTGTGTGAATTCTCTGATGCACTCTACAGGATGAGTCAAAGGCTAATGGTTTTTCACAAATATTACATTCATAGGGCTTCTCCCCTGTGCGAGTCCTCTGGTGTGCACTAAGGTATGACTTCTGGGAGAATGTTTTCCCACATTCATCACATCCATAGGATTTCACACCTGTGTGAATTCTCTGATGCACTCTAAGGGATGAGTTATGGACAAATGGTTTCCCACATATATTACATTCATAGGGTTTCTCCCCTGTGTGAGTCCTCTGGTGTGGAATAAGGTTTTTGACATCCAGGAGAAAGTTTTCCCACATTCAATACATTCATAGTGTTTCTGCCCTGTGTGAGTCCTCTGGTGAGTACTAAGGTGTGACCTCCAGGAGAAAGTTTTCCCACATTCGTTACATTCATAGTGTTTCTGCCCTGTGTGAGTCCTCTGGTGAGTACTAAGGTGTGACCTCCGGGAGAAAGTTTTCCCACATTCATTACATCCACAGGTTTTCACACCTGTGTGAATTCTCTGATGCATTCTAAGGGATGAGTTAAGGACAAATGGTTTCCCACATATATTACATTCATAGGGTTTCTCCCCTGTGTGAACTCTCTGATGTGCACTAATAGATGACTTCTTAGAGAAAGTTTTCCCACATTCATTACATTCATAGGGCTTCTCCCCTGTGTGAGTCCTCTGGTGTGCACTAAGGTTTGACTTCTGGGAGAAAGTCTTCCCACATTCATTACATTCATAGGGTTTCTCCCCTGTGTGAGTCCTCTGGTGTGCCCTAAGGCTTGACTTCCGGGAGAAAGTCTTCCCACACTCATTACATTCATAGGGTTTCTCCCCTGTGTGAGTTCTCTGGTGTGCACTAAGGTGTGACTTCCAGGAGAAAGTCTTCCCACATTCATTACATCCAAAGGATTTCACACCTGTGTGAATTCTCTGATGCACTCTAAGGGATGAGTTAAGGGCAAATGGTTTCCCACATATATTACATTCATCGGGTTTCTCCCCTGTGTGAACTCTCTGATGTGCTCTAACATATGACTTATCAGAGAAAGTTTTCCCACATTCATTACATTCGTATGGTTTCTCCCCTGTGTGAGTTCTCTGGTCTGCATTAAGGTGTGACTTGTGGGAGAAAGTTTTCCCACATTCATTCCATTCATAGGGTTTCTCTCCTGTGTGAACTCTCTGATGTACACTAACATATGACTTCTCAGAGAAAGTTTTCTCACATTCATCACATTTGTAGGGTTTCTCTCTTGTGTGGATTCGGTGATGGGCCCTGAGGGCTGAATTATCTACAAAAGTTTTCCCACATTCACTACACTCATAGGGTTTTTCCCCTGTATGAACTCTCTGATGTGTACAGAGGTATGTTCTTTGGGAGAAAGTCTCACCACATTCATTACATTCATAGGGTTTCTCCCCTGTGTGAATTCTTTTATGCACTATGACAGCAGCCTTATAGACAAAAGTTTTCCTGCATTTGCTACATTCATAGGGGTTTCCCCTGTGTGAATTCTTTCATGTCCACTGAGGCATGATTTCTGAGAGAAAGTTTTCCCACATTCACCACATTCATAGGGTTTTTCACTTGTGTGAATTCTATGATGTTTACTGAGGTGTGCCTTTTCAGAAAAAGTTTTCCCACATTCATTACATTCATAGGGCTTCTTACCTGTGTGAATTCTCTGATGTGCTCTTAGAACTGAATTGTAGGTAAAAGATCGCCCACATTCATTACACTCATAGGGTTTCTCCCCTGTATGAATTCTTTGATGTACTTTGAGAACAGAAATATGGACAAAAGACTTTCCACATTCTTTACATTCATAAGGTTTCTCCCCTGTGTAAATTCTCTGATGTACTCTGAGGGCTGAATTATTGGCAAAAGTTTTCTCACAGTCAGTATATTTGTGGCGTTTCTCACCTGTGTGAATTCTCTGATGTGCTTTTAGGGCTGAATTACAGGTAAAAGATTTTCCACATTCAATACATTCATAGAGTTTCTCTCCTGTGTGGATACTCTGATGTGCATTGAGGTGTGTCTTGTGAGAGAAAGTTTTCTCACATTCAATACATTCATAGTGTTTGTCACCTGTGTGAATTCTCTGATGTGCTCTGAGATGTGATGAGATGTGATAAGGTTTCTCCTCAGTGTGAATTCTCCAATGTTCTTTGAGACATGCCATCTTGAAGAATGTTTTCCCACATTCACTGCTTTCACAGAGATTCATCTGTGTTTCTGTTCTCTGATGTCCTATAAGGGGTGACATGTAAGACTTCCCACAGTCATTGTTACCATAAGTTTTCTCCTTTATGTGAATTCTCACATGTTCACTAAGATTTGACTTCTGACAGAAAGTTTTCCCACATTCATTACATTCATAAAGTTTGAATCCCACATAAGCTCCAGAATGCTCAATAGAGTGTGAACTCATACAAAAGGATTTCCCACATTTTTCATATTGAAGTTTCTCCCCTGAGTGGGTCCTCTGATACCGCATGAGGTGTGCTTTCTGGTGAAAGGATTTCCTGCATCTCCCATATTCACCACAACAGCAGAACTGCTCTTCTGTATGAGTTCTCAGATGTATTGTAAGATCTAATTTCTGGTAGAAGATATTTGTGCATCCATTATATTCACAGAATTTATCTCTTCCAGTTTGTGTTTTCTGATGTACTATATGACCTGAGCTGTGGCTAAAGTTGTCTTCAAATTTATTGCTTTCATCTGCACTCTGTTCTATAACAGTTCTCTGAGACTGAATGAGGGATGACTTTTCACTGAAATTTATCTCACTTTCATTAAATTTATAGTGTGTCATAGCCATGTGAATTTTATTGTACTCCAAAATGGTGGCTCTGTCACAGGATCTTCCACATTCATTAAGATCAGAACATTTTTCCCTTGTGTCAGTTCTCATGTAGTTAAGTAAAAAGGTTTTTATCACAGTTTATCCTAAATTCACCATCCTTACAGGACTTCTCTCTTGTTACAAAAGTCTCTGGTCTAAAATACACAGTCTTATCATATAAAACATTTCCAAATTCATTATATTCAAAAGACTGCCCCAAAGTTTGAAATTTCTGATACTGATCTTTCTTATAACTGTGCGCTTTCACATTTTCATCATATTCATAAGATTTCTCTCCAGGATGAGTTTTCTCATGCTTAAAATCAAGCTGCAATTTCTCAAACACATTCATGTAATCAACCTTCTTTCTTGAATAGTTTCTTTCACTTATAATTAACTCAGAAGCAACTGGCAAATTCTTTCTACAAAAGTCACATTTACAGGGTATTTTTCCTGAAAACTCTGGAGCTATGCCCAGATTTAATGATCTTTCTAAAACTTTCTGTTCTTCTTTACTCAATGTTTTATCATTGTCATCAGCAAATATTACTTGACACACAGGCTTCTTTGGTTTTTCTTGGATTTCTTTTATGCTGTCATCAATTTTATAATATCCTAAATTGTAAAAAATTGAAAACATATTATAAATCTTACACTTTTCAAGGAGAGGGACTTGTACCCATGTTTATGTATTTTATTCTATTGTTTCTGGTCATGTTTCTAAAGACTAAAACACATACAGACAGATACTCTTTCTTGTTCCTCATCCATAATATTTAAAGAAATAGGTATTATTTTCATCCAAGGTGGAGTAGGCCCTTTCCTCCCAGATTTTCCTTCTTACAATTAAAAATCCTTGCAAGAAAAAAAAAGATGAACAGACATACAAAGACTCTACAAAATAGAAAAATGTGAACCTCAGGACTTAAGAAATGACACAGCAGAGAATGCTAAAGCTACTCTTTCTGCTTTCCATATATCCTAGACAGAGTGCTGAAGAAACCTACAATCTAGAGCCAGCAACAAAAAGAGCTCCAAGAAAAAATAGCCTGTTTCTTCTAGCCAAAAATAGTTAAAGAGAACTGAAAGCCTGTTTGACATCATCCACATACTCATGCAAAACAAAAACGGAACACTTCTGGGGTTCCATGAAGGCTGACCAAGAAGCTAACCTTCCACTGCAATGGATTCAGATGATCTGTGCACTCTTGTAATATTTCCCTCCATGAGCCAAATGGGGAAATCATAGGAAAGATCATAAAGAATCCTGAAAAAGTTCCATTTTCAGGATATGCTGGAAGATGTAACAGGAGCTGCTGCCAAAACTCTGCCTAGAAATATATTCTTGTCGGCCAGGCTCAGTAGCTTAGCCTGTAATCCCAGCACTTTGGTAGGCCAAAGCAATTGAATTGCCTGAGCCTGCAGGTTCGAGACTAAACCGGGCAACTTGGCGAGACCTTGTTCTACAATAAAAAATTAGTTGGGAGTGGTAGCGTCTATAGTTTTGGCTACTTGGAAGGCTGAGGTGGAAGGATTGCCGGAGCCTAGGAGGTCAACACTGGGGTGGCCTGGACGACTGACTGAGACACCAATGCAAAAAAAAAAAGAGATATATTCTTATCTAATTTATGGAACAAATATACTCATCTGCAAGGGCAAGAACAAGATATCTGCTGTTTTAGGGCAGTAGCAGGCACTCATAGCAGCTAGAGGAAGAAAACAGCACAGAAACAGGAGAAGAGGCAGGAATACTTGGTAGGCCCAACCATAGGGAGAAGAGATAAAGTAGCACTTTGGACAACCACAACTTCATACTCGAGGACGCAGTGCTTGCAACAACAGCTAAACTCACATTTTCTCAAATGCACATGGAACATTCATCAAAATAGAATGCATTCTTGACTGTTAGACAAATCTTCACAAATACAGAACAGAAATCATACAAAAGATGTTCTTGAGCTACAGATAAAT